AATAATCAGTGACTTGTTGTGATTAAAAACATTTTTCAGACACATTGATACTGTAGGTTACTATGTTTACTATGTGTTGTGTTGCAGGGTCCAGTCCAGTGTGAAGACAACCGCTCAGGTGATCCTGGAGAGGTGATCTACGACACAGACACATTTCCCATCAGACATCAGCCTCCTATAATAATAATATGCCATTTAGCAGACGCTTTTATCCAAAGCGACTTACAGTCATGTGTGCATACATTTTTACATATGGGTGGTCCCGGGGATCGAACCCACTACCCTGGCGTTACAAGTGCCATGCTCTACCAATTGAGCTACAGAGGACCGCTCTGTGAGTAAAGTGTGACAGTTCATCCTCCTAGATCTATCCGCTGCCTTCGACACTGTGAACCATCAGATCCTCCTCTCCACCCTCTCAAGGTTGGGTGCCAACTCCTGGAAAGATTCCTGGCCATGGGGAGGAAGAAAACTCTGTCAAACTGCAGCAACCTTGTACTTAATTATATTTTAAAGAAGGGGGGTTTCCTATACACAGAGAAAGCAACATGATTGGACAATAAAACTCAGGGCTGAGCTTGCTTGATGCAGGTTTGCACCGTTGTAAGTGTAGTCCTGCCCTATGCCTACTAAAGAATTAACTCACAGTCTGTCAGCTATTGTGTTTATTGATTAATTCCAGTTAATAATTTGGCATTGAAAAAGTCTAGGTAGCCTAGTCAGCCCAAGTTTGAATATAAACCACATTTGATCCCATTCACATTTTCTCACAAACAAATGGCCTATAAACACACAATGTTACTGCTTTATTTACCCTGCCTTGAGGGACAGGGCACATAGTAGGCTATCAAATCAAATCAAATGTTATTTGTCACATGCGCCGAATACAACAGGTATTACCTTACAGTGAAATGCTTACAAGCCCTTAACCAACAATGCAGTTATTAGAAAGAATACCAAAAAAAATACAATATAAAATAATACGAAATAAAAGTAACAAATAATGAAAGAGCAGCAGTAAAAATAACAATAGCGAGGCTATATACAGGCTATACTATGCAGCTCCTGCTTTTGTTAGTAGTAGCAGCCTACAGTTGATCAGACAGAAAACTAGTGCAAAACAGCATGTGAGATCGCTGATGTTTCGGCGTACAGGCTGCTGCATTTATGTATTAGCTGTGTTCGAATAATCATACTAACCGCACTAACAGTACTATTTGTGACATAAATTGAGTATGTAGCATACAGTATGTTAGTATGGGTATTCGAACACCGCTCATGTCTACCAGATGCGTCAAACTCTGCGTTCCGGCGGAAGTCAGCCAGGCTGAGGCGTGAGTGGTGGGGAGGGGGAGGGCGGCGTGAGTGGTGGGGAGGGGGAGGGGCGGGCGTGAGTGGTGGGGAGGGGAGGGCGGCGTGAGTGGTGGGGAGGGGGAGGGCTGCGTGTGTGGTGGGGAGGGGGAGGGCCTGCGTGTGTGGTGGGGAGGGGGGAGGGCGGCGTGAGTGGTGGGGGAGGGGCGGCGTTGAGTGGTGGGGAGGGGGAGGGCTGCGTGTGTGATGCGTCACTGCCTGAGTCAGACAGTGTTGCCAATTTAGCATATATATTTAGTGACTTTTCAGACCCCTCTAGTGACACATTTTCAAAAAAGCCACTAGTGACAAATCTAGCGAACTTTTTGGTGTTATTGGAGACTCTGACGTGAAAGCAGGTATCGTTCTTACTCTTCTCAACGAGCAGCGGGTGCTTTGTTACCCCAGTCCCAAAGCACTCACAGGCGGCCCAGTCCTCGCGCAGCAGTCAGAGCAGGAGATGTTCACCCCTCCGCGTCCAGACTGCAAATGAATGCGCATGCGGGAAGCTGCAGCTGGCTGATGTAAATGTAGCGGGATGTTTTTTTACTCACTTTTTGTCTCTCCATGAATTAATTCCTCTCTCCTACAGCGTCCATCAAAATTACATGCACATGGCCAATTGTGCAAATTATTAAGCGACTTTTAGGACAGCCAATAGCTACTTCCTACTGAGCGTTGGCAACACTGACAGTGAAATATACAGTATATATTTTAAGAGAAATGCCATGGCGGCGGTGCAATTTAGAAGTAGCCCCAAAAACCCGCGACCAATACATTTCACCTCGGCATCTTTTTTCAAAGTAAGCCCAATTTAGCAGGAAAACCCCGGACATGGCAAAGTTGCTTGACCATGGAGTCAGGAGCATTTTCTTGCTGTTCACTCTGCATGGTTAAATGGATGCAACAATGTTGGTGACATGCTGCTTTCCACAAGCGTTCTATACACTATTACTTTGTATCTTACTGTCTGCTAGTTTGTCTTTTTTTAGCATGGTGTTGCAAAAATAATTAGTGTTAGCCGCTAATGCTAATCTAGTTAGCTGGCTAGTTAGCTTGCTAAATGTGCTAAGAGTCAGAGCAAACATAGCTAGCTAGCTAATACTGCCTGGTACCAGTGCTGGTGTAGGCCTAGATAAGCATGTTTGTGCAACGGTATCTTATCAGAGAGGAATAGGCGAAGCATGAAATGTTGGCTAGCTATATGAGGTAAGAAAACAACATGTGTTGATGATCACAAGTTTACTGGAGAACGGAGACCAAGTAGAGACTTTCGGACAAGGGGATATGTAATATAGTTATCAGAGTGACTGT